AAATTTACTTTACAGTCAACAGTTGCTTTGTCTACAACAGAGGCAGAATATATGGCTATTACAGAGGCTGTGAAGGAAGCAATTTGGCTTCAGGGATTGCTAAAGGAGCTTGGTGTTGAACAAAAAGGTATCACAATTTTTTGTGATAGTCAAAGTGCTATTCAATTAGCGAAGAACCAAGTTTATCATGCAAGGACGAAGCACATTGATGTTCGGTATCATTTCATACGAGAAATTATAGAAGAAGATGGAGTCACAATGAAGAAAATTCATACTACGGAGAATCCTGCTGATATGCTGACAAAAGTGGTGACTGCGGTCAAGTTTCAACATTGTTTGGATTTGATCAACATTGTTGAACACTGAAGATTGAAGATGAAGACATAACCAAAATTTGTTATTGAGAGAAAATTGAAGATGTGGAACTTTGCCAAGGTGGAGATTTGTTGTATGCCAAAACTCCCACATCGGTGGAAGACCAAATTGGTTGGGATTTTTTCCCTATAAAAGGAGGCCTAATGTTTAGGATTTAAACACACCTCTCATTTGCCTTCTTATCTTCTTAAGGCATTTGTATCTTCTCTCTTTAGTATTATTTCACTTGTATTTTTGGAGTGGAATAAAATATTGGTTGTGTCCGAGGAGTAGGCAAAATTGGCCGAACCTCGTAAATTTTGGCGTTCCTTTTATTGTTATTTTATTGTTTTATTTATTATTTGGTGGCTGTCATAATTTTTGGTATAGTAGTTGTGACTTATTCACACTATATACATTTGACTTCCGCAACACTTAGTAGAGGCTTTCTCAAATATTTTCCAAAAATACATGCTATGTGAGATTTGAACCTTTGACCTCTTAGAGCAAAAAGAGTAAAGACAATTTGTGTTGAGTGATGTCATTTTTTTGTACTTGGTCATTTTCACATAGTATTAATACATATTTAGTAAAAAAATCCGACGAAGCGGTATCGTGTGATACACACTTTATTGAACTTGCATCCGCCCCTGCTTAGTGAGATCTATATGTTCCGATTAACCATATCACCCGTTCCTGTTTTACAAACAGTTGGCTGTCCCCACCCGAGAACGTATAGCAATGAGTGACAAGCAGTTGGCTATCCCCATACTTAGTGATGTGTTGTTTTTGAGAGAATACTATAAATATACAAAACTCAGGTGTAGAATGCAGTTTAAGGATAAAACATGATGGAAAGAATAGACAGAAGTCCTTATTATACATGCCATAAGTCGCAAATGCAACAAATGCAATTTATTACGTTAAATTGCACTTGCCTAATGCGATTTATAAGTCACATGCAATAAACTTGTGTTTGCTAATAGAAACGTCTAAGTTTTTCCTATTTTAGATTCCTGTTTGGATTCTTATTCATTACATATAAATTTTCTTATCAAAATTTTAGCTTTCATTTGTGATTCTGCAATAGATAATGAAATTAAAGAAAGTTCCTCCTAATGCAGCGCAAATGAGTTATTCTTCAATGTATCACATATTTATTAACGGTCTAAAAAATCCAACAAGTACTATTGAGTATACATATACAGTATGAATTTTTATATTTATGAAAAGAAAATCGATAATCATTAATCATCCAAGGGGTTAACTTCCAAGGAAAAACCATTTTTCGTAAAGTCAGTCCCTAACGGAGAATTATAAATGAAAAGTTAAATTTTAAAAAAGAAAATTTTATGTAATTACAAGAAGTCTAAAACGGGATATTGAGAATGGAGAAACGGAGACATAAATGGAATTAGACAAATGTGGCTTATAAATCGTATAAATCACGCGCCGACACTCTGGGAAATAAATTCAGAAAAAAGAGAAATGGCCAGTGAGGTTGCTGATCAGACCCTCTCAGCTCCGACATTCTTCGTGGCCGTACACGTCGGCGCGTGTTTTCTCTGTGTTAATGATCTGTTATAAGTCAGCAGAATTAATGCAGTTTTTTTTTTATTTGAAAGGACAACTCTATATTCTTTTTATATGTTGAGGTGCATGGTATAAAATGGTCTGTAATATTCTTATTAATTGTGTACTTAAAAATTCTTGCTAATTGTGAAATAATTGAAAAGCTCAATAATTATGAAAACTTCTTTATTTCATGTAATGTGGATACTTATATAATTAGCTCTTTTCACTGGAAATCTGAGATCCTAGATCTTGGTGAACGGCTTAATAAGTTTTTGTCTAGCAGAGAGCAACCTTTACACCACATGGCCAACCATAATTTTTTTTTTTTTGTTGTTGTAGTTTTAACTACTCCTTTGTTCCATCTATGTCAGGTAATTGACTAATCATGGAGTTAGGATGTCCGCTTTTTTGATAACGGAAAATCCTCGAGGGCCAGTTGGAACGTGGTTCGAAACTCGGTGGAGAATGGGGCAACCCCTTAAACTTTCTCACTTAAATACTAGATTTTTGTGTGTGGTAAGGTTCGAATCGTGCCGTGCACCTAAACCACATCATGAATTGCGCTCTTATCATTGAACCAAGCCCAAGGGCTATGGAGTTAATATGTTAGATTTGACTTAAATGTTAGTGTATTAGTTATAATAAAAGAAATATCATGGTTGGAAAATTAGGTTGATAGAGAAACATCACATCGAAGTTTAAACTTCGATGTTAGAAGTGTACCCATATTGGTAGGGAAGTGGGTTGTCGCCTCATGAGTTAGCTTGTGGAGTTGAGTTAGGGCAAGGTCCATTTTCTTAACATGGTATCAGAGCCAAATCCCATTCTTCTTGTTGTATTTTCCAATGTGCACAGGTTGGACCCCGATATTATGTTGTCAAAGCTCTAATTGTCCAGGTCTTGGCTTGTCCGCGAGGGGGGCGGGGGTCGTTTTTGTTGTTGAGTCAGGTCCATTGTTTATTTTCTTAAGAGAGTAGTTTAATGAATCTGAATTCCGGAAATTTTTTAAAGTTGTATAGAAATGGATTGGTGTTGAACTTTTTGGGGCGTCCTATAATCGAAAGATGTCATATAAATTACGATGAAGGGAGCATTTATGTCTATTTTTGGTGGCACCACATCTCTTTACGGGTTTGTCTCTGGTGTTTAACCTTTTCCACCCAATTCTAACATCAGGAGTTTCTCCTCTTTAGGAGGAATTAAACAATCTTCATCACATGTGCAGCCAGAATGCTGGATGATGTATGTACCACACATGTTTCACATTATATTAGTCGTTTTGTATGGATGTCATCAGTTATTGTCAGATGGTGTGTCAAGTCAGAAATTGCTTCTGTCCAGTTACTGCTATGTCAATAGTGAATGACACCCACCACCCATTCAGCATCATGTCATAATCAAAAGCAACAAGTTTCCACTATTCACATTAACTATTTGTGGAGCTAATTGGTTATCCACCACATTCCACTTTCCTTCTTTCTTTTTTATCTATATTTTTAATCTTAATTGCCTCCTACTATGTTTTAGTTTTTCATGGTTAAAATTTTTCTTCAAATTTCAACTTCTAGGTTAAGGATAATTTCATTTTTAGGGTAAAATTGTTAATACACATTCTTCTGCTGTTGCTCCAAAATCGAGGTTGTCGATAACACTTTTTACCAGTGGGGAGACTCTATATCATTAGAGGGGAAGTGCTTAGCATTCTCTAAGCTATAAGGGAGGTCTCTTGAATTTTAATCACTTAAATGGGAGGTCTATGTGCTTAATCTAAATATTCATTTTTCCTGAACTTGATTTGAAGTGTACTATTTATTTGTCATATGGAAACAGTGGCTTGTGACTGGGAAGGCAAGTACCCAGTGGAAAAGATACAAAGCAATGCTTCATGATGCCAAAGTTGGTAATGATGCTCTTGACTTAAAGATGACACATCTTAAAGAGACTAATGCAATATCTGGTAAGTTGTAGCATATTGTTGTCCAAAATCTTTTGACTTTGATATGGCTACTTATTCTCTATGTTTTAGATTTTCCTTGGATTTCCTTAATACGTCTAATTATCGTGATGTGTGAAGGGTTAGTGAGTGGATAAAAATTACTATTTCGAGTTCTCATGAACGGACATTACATATTATGAGGTCTCAAGTATCCCATTTTTGCATTTACTTAACATTAGACGTATCGTAAACCCCTCTAATAAGTTGTATCCTTAGTTGTTACTTTGTAGTATGTGCCCATAAAAGTTGTATATTCCAGTATATGAAACATTCCCTTGCTATACAATCTGTAGAGTCTAAAGCTTATGGGATCATCGAAGTATTGTGCTTTAGGCTGCTAGATGACTATACAATTTATATTCTCAAGTTGACTGAATTGACTGGAGACACTTGTCCTCTGATTGAGTATTTTTGTCATCAGAAGTGACACTGATCTTCTGCAGGCTACATAGATACTACAGGAGCATAATATATATGCATTTTAATGTAGTAGACAATTGCATAGTTACAAGGTATGACCAAATTCAATGCTCCCATATAATCACTATTTCCTTGTTGGCATATTCTACTTGGCCGGACCATCTTGTTTTCCAGTAATTTTTCATGTCATGAAATATTTTGTTTTTTTGGTTGATTCCCTCTCCCTCTCTGCCTCTCTCTGTGTGTGTGTGTGTGTGTCTATCTCATATATGTTTGCATTCTTTTTCACAAGTAGAGGGCCAACCATGTGATCAGTTGTGGGGAAATGGAGTTGGTGATGCGTTAGATGAAGACTTGATTTCGGACACAGTTGGCGTTATCTGTCTCGATTCAGAAGGACATATAGCTTGTGGAGCCTCTAGTGGTGGTATAGCATTGAAGGTGATGCTTCTAGAAATGACATGAACTTGTAGCTTTTGCAGTAATTGTTTTTCTGCCCAACTTCTGCATTTTCCTGGTATACTGATACGCTGTATGAGCATGTTTGAATTTATGCACTTCAAGGTTTCACGGTAGAAGGATTGTGACTGGTGCAGCTTCATCTGGGTGTTAGATACTTCAGTTGGGGTGTGTGTGTGTGTGTGTTTGGGGGGGGGGTGTGTGTTCTGAATTTAGGCTTTAATTTTTATGTGATAGCCTTTGTGAATTTAAGATTATCTTAAGTTATTAGAGCCTTCATAATGCCGACTGTTGTTCAAACTGGAAAATAGAAAGTTCTCATTCTGTCGCACTATAAGTGGAAGGTCTTAATTGAACACAACCACAGTACTTGAACAAGGGAGTGTATTGGTCAATGTATATGCCTTTTGGGAAAGAACCAGTTATCCAAATTGATTTTCTTGGTAATTCTGTCTTATTTGTTGGTCAATATTTCAGGCAGTCTTCTCCTTCTGCTTCGCTTTAACGGGTCTCGTCTCTCTATAGTCATTATCGGAATTTCTGACGATTTTCATCAAAAGAAACCAATAAAATATTTGGTCAAATAATAACAATAGCATCTACTACGCCCCGACCTCAAACTAATTGGGGACGCACTATATGAATCTTCTATATCTATTCCGCTTTATTTGGGGAAATCTTGATCCGCAAAAGGTAAAACAATGAAGGAAGAAGAATACAACTTGCATTTGTTAATGGATAAGAGTTCATAGTGGTGGGTAGTGAGCACAGGGCCGTAAAGCTAAGTGATAACAACTCTGAGATCCTTGAGACCATTATGGGCTTTATGAGTGGTTAGTTATGCCTTTTGGCTTGACTAATGCACCCAGCAATTTTATGAGATTGATTAATCATGTTTTTAAGGATTTTCATGGAAAATTTGTGGTGGTTTATTTCGATGGTATCTTGATTTATTCTAAAAATTTTGATGAGCATGCGGAACACCTAAAGCAAATTTTTGAAGTTTTTAGAAACCAACACCTGTTTGCTAATCTTAAAACTTTTGTGCTGTTGGAACAAATATACATGTATTTGCCTATCTTCTGCTGCTTCTATTTAACTTCTCAGTATATCCTTTTTCTGCACTTTACTCTCCGGTCATACCTGACTGCTTGAAAGGCTTATTTTGTACTTTGACTTTATACAAGCACCATGTACAACAACCACAACAACGGCCCAGTATAATCCCACAAGTGGGGTGTGGGGAGGGTAATATGTACGCAGACCTTACCACTACCCCGAAGGGTAGAGAGGCTGTTTCCAGGAGACCCTCGGCTCAAAAAAAACAACAGGAGCCAAATGAAATAAGACTTCGACATGCTTAATTAGTCAACTCAAACTTCTTTTCCATTTTTTCTTTTCCCCATTTTTATCGTAGGTGGAGAGGAAGGTGCAAAGACTCCTGACAAATGTATTAAGGGGTGCTCCCTTAATACGTATACGATTGCAGAAGAACAGAATAAAATTTTGCCATTTCACATTAAAGAAAAAACTAACCATCTTTTTTCATCTCACGAAGCAACCCAGATGCATATCTTCTCACAATTTGCAAGTAGTACTCAACAAGCACCATGTACGTGAAGATTAAAAACCATGAGATTATTGAAGTAATTAAAAGTTGTATCATGGTTTTGGTTTCTTCGAAGATGTCTGCTTCTGGTTGGCTTTGAATTTCTGTTTTTGAGCAGTATCCGTACAATCTACTCGGAGTGTAAAGTTTTCTTGATTTCAATGTCTATTATTTCCTTTAGCAAACTTAATTGCTGTGAAACTTTTCCTAGCTCTGATTTATTGTATTTGAAAGAGAAGAGGCCCTTTTCCATTATTTTCTTTATATTGAGCTGGTAAATTTTTTGGGTTGCTTATTTATTCAGCCGTTAAACTTCTAACAGGTAAGTGGGCGTGTGGGTCTAGCAGCAATGTATGGTTCCGGTTGTTGGGCATCGTCAATAGGGCCTTTTGGAGCTCCATTTATTGTGGGATGCTGTGTCAGTGGTGCTGGAGAGCATCTAATGAAAGGATTTGCTGCTCGGGAATGTTGTATTTCATCATCACTGTATGTTTGCCATGCATCTAAGATATTTTCTTTCCCACTTGTCCCCATTATTAGCTATGGCCAATATGATTGTTGAACTCCTTTAGCATTGAAGAAAATTTTGCCTGCAAGATTCGATGTATTTTACTGAACATTAGTGGTCATTGTTGAACTTGAACATGCACATATTAGGTTTCATCTCGCTTTTCGCGCTTGAATTTGATACTGGCCTGTTTCTTTCTGCAGGTCACAAGCTGGTCCATCTTCTGCCTGTAAAAAGGTTTTGCGAACTGTTCAAGAAAACAGCCAATGTGGTGCTGAAAGTAGTGCTGGATTCCTTCTAGTTCAAGCAGAGCCTTCAAGATTAGTAAGATCGTTCCTGTGTTTCTTTATCTTTCTAGTTTCCCCTGCTTCAATCTAAAGGAAAAAAAGATAAAGGAACTACACATTGGCTGGCGATCTGTTGTCCATAGGTTGCAGGTACTTTGGCTAAGCTGGAAACTGTTGAGATTGCAGCTGTTTACTCTTCCTCATCTTTTGGAATAGGTTATTTTGGCAGCTCTATGGATAGGCCTAAGGTATCATACATCTGCGTATTCTCACTTTTTATGCAAACATACACCATTTTTTTTGTGTTTAAAACCGATGGCCCGTAGTTAAATAATTGTTTCTAGGGAGAAAGGTAGGAGTAGCTAGTTTTGATGATATAGGCATAAAGATCGATTATATTGCTTTGATGACAATATGATAAATTTGGAGCTAGTTTTGATTATGGTCCAAGTTGATCACTGAAAATGATAATAGTTGTTTTGGATTTTTCTTTTTTTACTGTTTAATTGCTTTTATCTTATTTCTTATGGACAATACCGCTCGTTAGACAGATATCTGCTTGATTTTTGGAAACCACGAGGGATTAATTATTCATACGTAATGTTTTATTTCTACATTACTTTTGACTTTTGTTAAAATTCATTACTACCAGGAACAGCAGCCAACCGTCGAGCTTAATCAATTTGAACCCAGAAAACTCAGGCTCGAGCTTTAGACTTGGTGATGAGGTTCAAAGATGATATTCCTATCCTGCTCATGAAACACTATATCATACAGTGATCCTCTATAAAAAATCATTACTATTGGTTAACTAAAAGGAACCATCATCATATGAAGAAATAAAAGAAACTAAAAAGAATCATAGACATTGTTAAAATATAGCTTTGCTTTGCTATGTTGAGGAGAAGCTTTTCAAGTTTGCAGATCTTAGTCGTCTTCCCCTTTTTCTGTTCTATAATATACTATTTACGACCATTGTTGCTGCAAAAATGTCACTGATACATGTTTGTATTCAGCATGAGCTTCTACAATTAGTGTACTTCTAATTGTGATCTCCTACAGGTTTCAGTACTTAGGAGTAAAAAGCAGCAAAGTAAAACTGGAATCAATGAGTTTGCAGCAAGAGTTAATCTTGTGACCAAGAAATGATAGTGTTGCAGCAGGAGTGCTGGAGCGGCAATTGGAGAAATTACTTGCCATTTCAACGGTGTCATCATTTAAACTAGTTATATAATCAGCCAAATGCTGAAGATGGAGCAGAACACTCTATTTAAGTCTCAAGATATGGCTGACAACTAAACTGGTAGTTGAGGATTGTTATAGACGTAGTTGAACCAAAAGGAATCAGTGATTCAAATGAAACTAGTGCTAAGAGATTGCTGCAGACATGATGTAGTAGAACTGATTTTTGAATTATGGGAGAAAATGTATTGCTATTTCATAGGAATGTATGAATTATTATTTTTCATATGGAACCTATATATAATAGAGAATACCGTTACCTAATGTGAAGCAAAGAGTGGTATATTGTTTACTTGTATCATTACAGTTCTGTAAAATTAGTAATATAGTGATATAGCTTTTGAAGAAAGTTACAGAAACAGAAATATTCAAACGAGATTGATAACACATTGGAGTACAAACAAGAAGTTTAATTAGCCTATTCATCAGACCAAGTTATATCCAACTCCCCCCATTCGTTCATAGGCACATGTAAATCTCTCCAAACTGCTTGTGAAGCTATAACAAGGTTATTAGGACAAGGTGGTTGATAATCATGTTTCTCATCACAACCCATGGTTGAGTCACACTCATCCACAACCATGGCTTTTACACTTATTCCATTATTAGCATTTATTGTAATGTTACTAAGGCACCTTCCTCCTCCATTGTACCAACCAGTGGAAAGAGCTACAACATGTGTATGATCAGAATGATACTTGTTATCACATTTTGATGGTCCATATCCATCTCCACCCTTTTCAAAACTATCCAATGTGAGAACTGCCTTGGTACTCTTCTTAGAAACTGGGGGTGAACATTTGTAAGTAGTATAGACTTTGCCTTTGATGCAACATATGTCATCATCTTCAATGTTACAGTGCCCCGTCGGCGGCTTTTTCGCCTTTATCTTGCTGCTAGGATTGCAGGTTGGCAATCTTGCATCTGTGGGACAAGAAAGAGTAGCTAGAACGAGTAACACAATAAGAGATGTAGTACCAAATCTAAAATTCTTCATGATCTCTCTCTCTATTCTTAGTTATAAAATCTTTGGTTTCTGAATAATGGAGAGCTAGCTGGTTAGTCTATATAATTAATGTTTGGTCAGATAAAACTCCAAGGTTGTGTTCATCAAATTCCAATATCCTCTAAGTTTTTCGTACGTTAAAAAAATGGCCCGTCTAGATTGTAACTTCTCTTGAGCTGCCGTACACAGATTCCTATAGGCATGTATTTTCTCATGACAAAAAGACAACATATAATTTGATTCGAAAACAAATTAGGAACCAAAAATGGTCTCCATCAGCTTAACGAAGATGTCATGGCATTTAGCGACTGTTGTCTTCTGCCGTCCGCCATAGGACTTGTACATTGAACGCCTACTCTATCACAATGCTCTCTTGAAACAAAATTATTTCTAAAACTTGGAATCTCAATCCTAGGTCCTTTAATTTGGTTATATTTTACAGTTCCTAGACGTGTGTAATATAAAGGGGAAAAGGAGAAAGGGAGAGAATAGAGTGAAAAAGGACAGTCGCCACCAATAATATTGTTGTAGGTTGCCGTCCCTAAGTAGCGACCTGCATAAGATCTATTTTGTGGCCGTATTTATTTACTTTTTATGGCAAGCTTAGTCGCTAAACTCTAATAATAACAATGCGACGGGGAGGATGCACATTTCCAAGCCTTGCAGAAATTTTTTACAAAAATTATATGTAAAATAAAAAAAAAGGTCTCCATTAGCCAACGTATTTTCTATGATAAAATTAACACTGTAGTAAAATGACAACGGGGAAATTACAATAATACTGCTATAATATTATTTGTAAGCAAATACGCGAATTGACTTGAGTCGTGTTGAGCACTATCCTAAGAAACTATTTAAGCAGTGTGAAATGTCTCTCCAAGATTAAAAAAACTTACCTCTATTTTAGAAGATACATGAATCAACAAAATATTAAATTACAAGCCCAACTATTTAAAAAAGAGGAACAAAAGAAAATAGACTACTGAATTTTGAGAAAGAAAGACAACAAAATAAGCTAGTGAAGAATGAAAAACCAAGGAAAGTTGCTGATGATTTTGCCTAAGTTGATTGCGTATTTATAGGCTTTAAAAGAGATTTGAAGCATGATAAGTGTATGACACTTGTCTTGAATTTTCCATGCAATTGCCACTTTTCATACTTTTTTTGTCACTTATCATAGGCTTCTAGAATGGCTAAGACATTTGTCATTTAGGCTTTGAAATATAGCCACAAATACTTCATAGAATAATCTGCTTTCAACAACTCACTTTAGCATTTGTTATTGCTAGAGAACTTTAGGAAATCAGGTTTTTCGGTGTTTCTATGGCGACTAAAGCAGTCGCCACCAATAGTAGTGCCATATAGCCGCATTTCCGATTAGCGACGTACACAAAATCTATTTTGTCGCGCACTTTTCACCTTTTGTGGCGATTTTAATCTCCACAAAAGCTAATAAAAGCCTTGGCACAATTTTCCAATCCTAACGGAACTGCTAAATTTCGTCCGAATGTCACAACATACCATTCGGATAACACACCGGTGGTTGCACTCTCAACGGGTTGGTTCAGTGGCGAAAAGAGGTGTATGAAGAATATTACAATCTTTGGCAACAGAAAGCAAACGGATGCTATGGTTGTCAGATCTTCTTTTTACACCCTGAAGGGGATATAAAAGAGTTTTTCCAATTTAAGTGATATTATTTGAAATGAAATTATTTTATTTAATTTCTCAGAGTCGCAACTTGAAATATTTTAATTGGTGTCCCAAGTTACCAGTTTATTTTAAATCCCAAATCGAGGAAAATTTCGACTTTCCTTTTGAAGTCTGCGAACTAGAAATTCTGAATAAGGAATTCTGTTAACCCGGGGAAGGTGTTAGGCTTCTCCGGATTCCGTGGTTCTAGCACGGTCGCTTAAACTATTATAATTGGCCTATTATCTGATTTCAATACATGTTTTAACCTATGATGTATTCTCAAACTATTAAACCGCTTTTAATTATTTTTAGGAAGATTCAACGTTATTTAAAACACGCCTTGAACCACGCCACATGAAATGCACCCGCGATCCACGACATGTTTTATTTAACGTTGTTGAGAATTGGAGTTGAGTCACATGAAATGCACACCCGAGTTTAAGGAAATTAATTTAAATAGCGTCCCTAAAGGAACTACACACTTTCAAGTTAATGACAAGGTTTGAGAGGGCCATGGAAAATTCAACTAATGACACACCTCGATTTCTAAAGGGTTAAACTTAATTAAGTGAGGGCCATGATTTTTTGGGATTTTATTCGGCATGGCACACCTCGAATTATTCTATTAAAAGGGTTTCTAAATTTAGTTTCGAGAGCCATAAATTATATATTGGGCTAATATGGCACACCTCAAACTAATTAATTAAAGACTAAGAGCATATGAATTTTACTTTTAAGTGAATGGTTTAAACTAACTTAATCATTAACAAACTAGCATTAAAAGAAGTCGGGTATTCAATTATTTGGAAAGCCTAAACCTGCGGTAGGCCCAAGTGCCATTTGTGAAATTACATGGCAAAACCAAAAGAGAGCCCAAATCGAGAGCAGAATTGACAAGAGCATTTTGGTCTAAATGGGCTAAGACAATGGCCTAGCTGTGAGGCTTTTTGCAAGAGTCTGCACTGAAACAGTCACAAAAATCTCTGAAGATTCATCTAATTTTCAATAAAATCACGCAGGGAAATGAAATAAACACGCTTAAACTGAAACGCCTAGCCTAAGCCATGGGCTATTCTTCTTAGGCCTATGTTTGGCCTCATTCGAGGCCCATCGGCCACATTACCTCATACCAACCCAAATTTGCTTTACACATTTTAACACAAACTGAAACCCAATATGAATACCATGCTGCAATGTTCAGCCTTATTACAACTCAACATAATTGATCTCTACTATCAAAACGTAATGGAGTTCAGTTTTTATTCAAAAAACACTTAACATGATTTCAAAAGATATGCACATACTTAATGATATAGATTCAACTGAAAGTTTTCAACAACGACCCATAGCCTTTAAGTTCATTCATCTTTAAAGGAGAAAACTCGAAACAGACTAAATCATTTGTGAAGAATAACCTGAAATTGAATATCACTAAGAATGCAACATCTTACTCAAAAGAAAACCTAAAATGGTATTAACTATCTCACATTGAGCTCATGCATGACAATACAACTATCCAAAATTCAGGAGAAAGGATTCAAAACAAGCTGATATTACAAGCACAAATAAGAGTCCAAATACAACCCTCAACATAAGTCTCAAATGTTCATGGCATAACATCACTTTTTAGCATGCTAAAACAGAAGAAATGAATTAACAAGTTGAATGAAAAAACAAGAGAAAGCATTGAGTTCGAGTAAATGTGGAGATCTTCATTTCTTCAAGCCAAACGAGTCATTCTTACATGTTCAGAATCAGAGATATGTACCTGAGTACAACAAATAAACAACACAACAGCCTGAGTTTATGAAGAAACAGTAGTAGTAACTCAACAAGAGGGGAAGCAACAACAGTAACTCCAGCAAAACCAAACAGCAACAAACCAAACTTTTAAACCATTTTGAACCCAGAATAAACAACCATTATTGAGGAAAGTTCGACTATGGAAATTTGAGAAAGAAATAGGAAACCAGAACCAGATTCTTCACCAAAATTGTAAGGAATTTTCATAACTTTGGACTCAGCCGTTTCTAATAATTTTCAGTGTTCTTAGTCTCCAAAATCTGAATTGATTAAGAAGTAAGAGCCTTTTATAGATATCAACTAGGGCAGCAGAAATGAGTCAAGTTATTTTTCACTTACCCTTTTCAAATTTTTATTTTTGCTATTGAATCCTTAATTAAAAAATCTGGTTTCTAAAACAGTCCCAAACCCACCTTCCTAGAAATTTCCTAAGTCAGCTATTGAAGATTCTCCTACTTAAAATCCCCAAACTAACCTTGTAAACCCTGTTAATTACCCTTAAGACCTCATGGGTCAAATTGACCCAACCAAACAAAACAGACCTAGGCTTGCAAAGACCCAGGCCAATCCCTTCTTTTGGGCCTTTGATTCACAGAGCCTCAATTCAATCAAAAGCCAAGCTCATAAAATTAATGAGCTAACCGGAATTGCCCAAAAGAAAATCAGAAAACCTTTGAAATGAAACCAAAACAAAAAAAAGGAAAAGGAACTAATTAAGAACCAAAACAGAACAACTAAACTTGCTATTAATCTAATCATGCAACAAAACACCGATTAAAAATGAAAACATAATAAATACAAAGAAAAGAAGAGACAGAAAGAGATGAAGATGAGAACTAAAAATGAAAAAATGAAGAAAAGAAAAGCAAACATAAAAAGAAAAAGTACCTAAGAGGACGTTTGGACAGTGGAGGTCGAAAATCTCTTCAACACCTTCAATTTTAGCCGATATTGACATTAATGGGAACACACGAATAACATCAATTTCCACCCTAATCCTTCAGTGAAATTTGACGATTTGGGAGTTTTGGGAATTTAGGGTTTCAAACTTTGATTCAAGATTTGAAGGGCTCTGTGATGATTTTAAGGAAAAAGGTATTGGTTTTGGTATGAGGGGTCAAAGGGGATGCTAGGGTGTGAATTTTGGAACGGATTGGAGTGGTGTAGGGCTGCACCGCCACCAGAGAAGGTGAAGCATTTTGGGGCAGCGCTCTAGGGTTCTTGAGGGAGATGAGAGACAGGAGTAGTACGATATACTAGGTTAATGGGGGGTTTCAGACACTCTTAAAGGGAATGGGGAAATAACTTGGGGCCGTTGGATCAGATGGAATGGAGGGCACAGATTGGATCTAGATAATTGCCCCTCTTTTCTCGGAGACACGAAGGATTTTCGGGCAAAGATAAAATGAGCAATTATGAGGGATTTTTGCCCATTTGAAACCCCATGATAAGCATTTTGAAAAAGTGTGACCGAACCTTACTTCAGAGGTTGCCTACATATCCTTGGCTATAAAGGAATCAGGTTAGTGTAGTTCTGGAAGTTTCGGTAGCTGGGACTACCTGGAAGCTGTGATTTCACTGTTGTTGCTGCTGCTACTGCTTGCTGAACTCCTTATTACACCAAAAATGGAATAAAAAAGAAAAGCTAAACTATCTAAGCCTATCAATTACGAGTTACAAGATTCCTATCTATAAATCTCTTGAAGCTTGATCTTGAGTCTTGGCTGGTTCTTGCTGCAGACTCCGATCTGAATCTTGATGCTCATCAGCTGTAGGTGCTGGTTCCTTCTTCAGATTTTCGGATCAAGGCGAGACATGCGAAGCTTGTGACTCAATCATATCTTGAGCAGTACACATCCTTCTCCACTTCAGCACTTTGAGTTCATTTCTTTTTGCTCTTTTTCTTCTTTTCTTTATTTTGGATTGAGACTCATTCTTTTGGTCGTCTCGAACTCTGTGCCTCGAGGTCAAACCTGCACAGACACCAAAGCAAGAAAACAAACAAAATTTTCTACCCCAATTTTCACTAGG